CGTAAAAATTCTCTAATTAGTCTGGAAACGGGGGACCTAATTCTTGCATTCTGTGAAAACGGGTAAGATTAGCTATAATGTAATTATCTTAATCTTCACTATCGTTACTTTTTGCCCAGAGAAGCGGGTCCTTGCAGCTAGATTCTAGATTACTTAAAAAAACAGTCTTTGATATATATGTTACTGTGAAAGACCGAAATTAGAGAATGTCGGTATTCTCCGGTGAATGTCGACACACAAAATACGTCGGTGAAAGACCGAATATTTGGTTATATTATTATACATTCGAACAATCGCCGGTGTATGTCGACAAGCACAGATAAGCTTTGGTGGAGGTCGAAACGACACTCGAAAAGCCGATGTCGACAGAGAGGCGATAGTCTGTCGCCAAATCCTTTGTGAGTAGCCGGAGGTATAACAAGGTCGTACCTCTTTTCCCGGCAACGGTTTGGTGGAAATCGCGCACTTTGTCACTGGATGGTGTTTTTGTTCTTTTAATCCCGTGAGGTGGGATCGATTTGACAGGTCGAGTGGTGGAGGATGACAGGGGTCGTCGGTAAGGCGTCGGCGATATCCGAATAAAAGATACCATTAACAGTAATTTGTTCGTAATTTGTAAAGAAAAGTTACTTTCCATATATGAGATTTCTTCTCAAGAAATATCGCCGAGAGAAGCAGCTACAGCTAATTCGAAAAGAAGTGTTCCACGAATAAATGCAGTTGTAAAAGCAAGGGACTCAAAGTGCCATAACAGTTTAAGTTATTGCAATAAATATGATTGTACAACGTCAATCACATAATTTATGTGTAAGTTTATTATTGTATTATTTTCTTTAATGATTTAGAACGTTCTGTTTGTTTTAGGTTCAACAGTTTATTTACATGTGCTGTTACTTAAGCTTTCTCCTATTTTGATATATTAAAAAGTTGCATTTTTGTCTTAACGTAATAAACATACTTTTATTCATCATTCATCATCAGTGCATGCTGAATGTCGACATTTGCCGGTGTAAGTGAGAAATAACGATATTTAGCAAATATTTCGGACATACACGAAACGACTGTGTGAATGCTGACATTAACCGGAGAATGTTAACATTCGCCAAATATCGGTCATTCACAGTAACATATATATAAAAAAAAACCCAGCGAAGCGGGTCCTTGCAGCTAGTATTTAATAATTACAGTTCTCTTTATTAACTAGGAATTATGCGTGCAAATCTTAAAAAGTAGTCAGAGATTCTCTTTCTAAATTTTAGTCTTTCTTGATATTTTCAGAATATAACAGCTGGGTTACCGCAGTGTCTGGATTCGAGTACGTTTCCTTCCCTCGGCTGTGAAAATGAAATAGACGGCGGAAGTAACTTGATGTCAAGTGTAATATATATATCGTGCTTGTTAAAGAAAGTTTGTTACAAAAATGATACGGCTAATTTAGTCAATGTGATAAAATGTCTTTCAATACTAAGTTTAGCTAGAGTATTGTGAGAATACAAACGAGGGTCCAGGCCTTCTAATCGTCAGATCTGTTAGACCTGCTCACCTTGTCACTGGATGGCTTAATTTTTCTCAGAACCTGAGTGGTAAGATTCTGTGTGGGTTGTGCATAATAACGAATAATGAGACTAGGGACGTCCTCTTTATATAGCAATCGATAATTTAATAAGAATTAACAATAACAAAAGTAAATAATAAACATACAGATGAGTAATATGAAAAATACATGACTTATATCCTATCGCGAGACTAAAATCTAATTTTTCTGAGAGAGAGAGTTTTACAATAATCATATTACCTCGTTGTTCATGTTGAAGACAGCTTTCTCTCGTTGATTTCTTCCTGGAGAGTGGAGTCGGGAGGCCAGGATCAGCTGGTGGATGAGGAGCACTCACTCTAGCAATAATCTGAACGAATTCCCCGAGAGTCCACTAATCAGCCCTTTCATCCCCAATTATTTCATAATATTTTTTCTTAGAAATTGGTTATGACATTTCAGCAGGTGGTGTGCAAAATTCTTAGATACGAGATGTGGAGGAAGGAAGCAAAACATCCTCAGTTCTTGAAAAAGTGCTACGTGACAGAGCAGTTTTACAGGATGTTCAAGTTTATAACCTTATTAGGTTATGTTTTATTAATTATTCCAAATTTTATCAATTTTATATTTTTCTGGTGAAATTAAAGCATATTATTTATTACGTTAAAATTATATAAATTATCTCAAGAACACCGTCAGATTGTCACATCACTTCCTTCTTTTCAAAAATCACACCAATTTTAAATAGGTGAGATTTTTTCCCGTATTACTCTCTCTCTTTACAGAAAACACTTTTATAGCGGTTACATAATATAATTTATAATGGCCATCTTATAGTTATATTGAGTACAATTTGATTACATGTGAATAAAATACAAAATAAGTTATTGATATATATATGTGGGATAACAAATTAATACTACATAATTAATGACTACTTATATATAGAATAGATTATACAATCAAAAAGGAAATAGTTCCTTTTAGGAAAACATTTAATTAATTCCTAGAGAAGAAAATTGTACAAGATGGTTTCTGAATCAGGGCCGGATCATCGCATAGACAAATGAGACAAATGTCTAGGGCCCGGTTTTTAGAAGGGCCCGATCAAACTGTCTATTTTGAAAAGATTTGTAAATAAGATAGTTTACTTCTCTGTTGGACAACTGTATATAATAAACAAAAATATACAGTATTGCTTTTTATATGGTTATAGTGAATTCTAAAATCTAAAGAAAATGAACGTGGGTTCAAAAAGTTTCCGAACTTTTTGAATAGCGCGCCTCCAGTTGGTTATTTTTTAATTCGCTTGGAGGCGTTGTGTCCGCGGAAACCTCCCGAGTAACCTTCTTCAACCCATTTGTTGATATCTTGTTTTGGTGATTAGTTACTGCCGTTTATGTGAAGTGGTGTTTGTGGGATTCGGCGATAAATCGGATCCGCGGAAATCAGCTCTTTGAAAGAGCAGCGTTGTTCTGTGAAATTTTGTGTGAAACTCCGAAAATCCTTCACGGAAACGTCCCACGGGTGGGTGAAACAGTGCTCCAAAAAAGCTCGACAAGTTCGCTCAAATGTTGAGGTGATGTTGACTGTTTTTTTCGATGCAAAGGGAGTTGTGCATCACAAATACCTATCTACAGGCCAGACAGTCAACACGGAGTAGTACTTGGTGTTATGAAACGCCTAAGAGAGAGAATCAGGCGAAAACGGCCCGAACTTTGGAGAAGCGGTGAGTGTTTTTTTTTTCATCACGACAATGCGCCGGTTCATTTGTCCCTCAGAATTCGTGAGTTTTTGGCCAAAAACAAGACCGCTGTGGTTCCCCCTACTCACCTGACCTGGCACAAAGAGACTTTTTCCTGTTCTCCAACAAACTAAAAAACACGCTCAAAGGAAAAAGATTTGCCACCATTCCAAAGCTAGAAAA